CCGCGGCTGCGCCCGCCGCGCCCCCCAGGCCGCCGCCAGGGGCACCACCACTGCAGCGACCGCCACCAACAACGCCGCCGCCGGCGCCCAGGCCGTCCAGGTCCGCACCAACCAGGTCGCCCTGCCCGGCCGCTGAGCGCCCGCGGCCCGCCCGGGCCCGCCTCGAGGCCCGGCGCAAGAATGAGGGCGCGGCGCGCACGCGCCGGCGGCCGCCGCCTGCCGCGGCGCCGGCCGCGTGGCCCCCCCGAGAACGGTCATTAGTTGTTTGTCGGCTGGCCTGCCGCACAGGCGGGCTTGCGAAACGAGTTCGGTCAAGGACGTTCTTTTTGTTTTTGTGAGCCGTGCCTTGGACCATGACACCTAACAGGTGTCAAGCACATTGGTATGTTGAGGCTTGCCCCTCACACGGGCCGTTGGTCACGCACTGACGACACAAACCCAGGCGCTTGCGCGCGCTCGGCCTGCAGCAGCACGGCGTGTCGCGGAGCGTCAATCTGTCAGACGTTGCATACAGTTGCGCACTCCTGCAACCCCTTGTCTCGCCTGATGCCCTGCCATGCAATCGTGCGGCGAACCGCACATATGCATGCCATAATCAAATTTACGGGTGCAACGGGTGCAGCAATGGAGGCGGTGTCGACAACCCGTCAAGCGCAATTTTGCGCTCTGCACAGGACTGTAATCGCTCTCGTGCTGCGTCGCAAGCTTGGCCTGGAGTCAGCAATGCTGCAGGCCAGGGGCTGATTGGGGCGGGCGGCGGGGCCGGCGTCCAGCGAGCCAGCCTGCAAAATTGACCTCGCCCGCATCATCCTTTCATCCTTTGGGCCATCTTCAAGCCTCGACGGGCTCGGGGCGCGAGCCGCGGCGCCGCAGCGTGCGGCAGGCGAGGGCTGGGCGGCGGGCGGCGGCAGGCAGCTAGCGCGCCTTGCTAGGGGGTGGAGGCTGCTGTGGCGCCTCTGAGTACAGGCGCACCTGCCTATGCCGACCCGGCAGGCGCATGTCTTAGATCGCAGACCGGGGCGTCGCCGTCCCCGGTCGCTCCTCCCCCCAAGGTGTTGGTGTGGCAGGATGCCATGTCGCACCCAGGCACCCTTGCAGGGGCACAACCGCAACAGGGAATGCTACCATCTGCTGGACGGCTCGCAGGCGGCAGGGACTCATCAGAGTGTCCCTGTGGTTGCAGTGTCGCCATACACTGGCCACCACCACGCGTACAGGTGGCGAGGCCCGCACGGCGATTCCGCACAACGCGTCGGGCATGCAGCGCGGCGCAAGCCAACATGGTCGACGGCGCTGCGGCACAGCCCGCAACCTCAACAGCTCTTGCTGGCGCCGTTAATAGGCCGATAAAAACCATATCCATCTCCCAGATCTTCAAAAACCCCTTGCGTCGGCTTGCTGGAGGTGTCACCCGAGTGCCTCTGTCCGCAGTCCCTGCATGCCAACGTTTTGCTTGACTATACCGCTTTGAATTCTTTTTTGCCGCAACCCTTACACACAAGCGTCATTACTGGGGGCACCGCCCCGATTTCTCTTTTACCGAAAGACTCAAATTACCCGGAAATACGCCCATTGGCACGAAGAAAGGCACTAGAGGAGCTACACGTCTGCCTCTAGGATCCGGCGCATCCGACGCCGCGGTGCCTGCGCAGCCGCCGTTGCCGCCAGCCCGAGCTGACGGAGCAGCAGCAGCAGCAGCAGCAGCAGCAGCAGCAGCAGCAGCAGCAGGAACAGCAGCGGCGACGCGCAACCTGCTGAAACACAGCTGCGTTCCCCAGCCTGCCCGCGCGCGCATGCAACCCCTGCTGCTGCTCGCCCGGCGGCGCGGCGCATTCCTCGGCTCCCTTTCACCCGTCGCGGCCGCAGCGGCGGCGGCCCTCCCTGGGAGGCGCAGCTTCAACACAGCTGCCGGCCCCAAGGCGGATTCGTTCTCTCCCATCCTCCCGGACTCCCGCCCTCCGGACTGCGCAGCGCCCCTCGGATCCGAATCGCCGGTGCCCCTCAGAGCCAGGCAGATGCCGCACCTCGACCGCCGCATCGGCTTCATGGGCAGCGGCCAGATGGCGGAAGGTGGGGGGCTGGGGTCCCCGGGGTCCCAGGGGGGAAGAGGGGGGAAGGGGGACTTTCATGAGCAGCGGCAAGATGGCCAGACGTGGGGCCAAAGTCCGGCCCCGCCCCTCCCGCGCCCCAGTAGCTGCCGCTCGTCCACCGCCGGCGGCGAGGCCAACCAGGGCACGCATGTGCGCGCACAGCTGGCTGCATGGGTATGTGCGCTGGCAGTCCCCAGGCCTGCCAGCCCCGGACAAGCTCAGCAGTGCGACCCCTAATCCCCCCTACACACACGCACACACGTGCTCACCCGCAGCCCTGGCCAAGGGTCTGATCAACAAGGGCGTCGTGTCGCCCGACCAGATCGTCTGCACCGACCCCGTGGCCGCCAGGTGCGGGCACAACAACCCCCCCCCCCCGGCAGGACAGAACAGTCAGCCCACGTGCTGCCGCCCGCGTGTCTTGAAGCCCCTGGCGTGCTGCTGCGCCTCCGACTGCAATTGAGCCGGCCCTGCCGGCACCACGAGCCCCGGGCGGCCGGGTTTCGTGTGGAGGGGGCGGCAGCTGGGGGCCGGGGGCGCCCCTCAGCCGCGGCGCCTGCTGCGGCAGCCGTGGGTGTCTTCGACGGCGGCGGGTTCGATCCGTGGAAGGTCCGGAGGCCTAATTTTCTGCACCGACCCGCCCGTGCGCGTCACCGCAAACAGGAAGGAGCTTTTCCAGAGTTTTGGGGCCACCGCCTATGAGACCACGCTCGAGGTTGGTTCGGGGTCGGGCGGTTTGAGGGACGTGGGGGGTGACAGGGGCAACAGTGGTGGTGTTTGGATCCGCCAGGGGCGTGACGCCGAAGCGGCCGTGCTCGAGGGTGCAGCAGCGCGCGGGCGGGCGCATCCCCGTAGCGCCCGCAGCCAGGCTCGTCGACGGGCGCAGGCAGGCGTGGCGAGGCGCCAGCCTCGTCCACGCGCGTGGCACTCGTGGCCCTGAAGGCTCAGCGGCATGCGCCAGAGAATACCACCCGCCGCCCTCCTCCCTCTTGACACCCCCCCCAAACACACACACACACACACACACGCACACATGCACAGAGTTGCGTGTTTGTGCAATCACACACCTCCCTAAATTATCATGTTCACTCGCGCACTGCATTTGACGCAGGTCGTCCACAACGCAGACGTGCTGTTTGTGGCTGTGAAGCCGCAGTACGTCGGTCCAGTCCTGTCGGAGGCGCGCCCCCACCTCAACGGCAGGCGCGTGCTGCGCCCCGCGCCGCGTGGCGAATTTTCACAAGGCAAACCGTGTGAACCCCGAGGCGCCCTCACCTTGCCGATGTGGCAGCCACTCGCTGGATTGACCAGGCGAAGCACCCAAATTCGACCGCACTCAACCGGCCAACATCCGTCAACGATACGCTCTGCCCTGCAGGCACCTGATCGTGTCGATTGCGGCCGGAGTCACCGTTGAGAAGCTGCTGGAAGCTGCCGGCCCCGAGGCCCATGTGGTACGGGTGATGCCCAACACGCCCTGCCTGGTCGGGGAGACGGCGGCGGCGATGTGCGTCGGCGGCAAGGTGCGTGTTGACCCTGCTGACCTCAATGCTTGCTTGTCGAAACGGTACAATGGGTAGTTTATAAAAGGGAGGCGGGGCTTGTTTGCCACAGGCAGCCAGGAGCGTTTTGGAGAGGGAAGCCAGGGGATGTTTGAGTGTGTGATGGGCAGCCAGGGGCGGTGCGGCCTCTGAGCGGGCGCGGCGCCGGCTGCTGCAGGGGATGAGCGGCAGGTGCAGCGCGTTGGAGCGGTGGGGTCGCTTGGCGGCGGGTCTGCAGCAGGACTCTGGCTGATTCGGGGGGCTGACTCAGCAACCCGTGTGACTGAGACGTCTGCAGGCAAGTACACCAGGACACCAGGACATCTGCACATCACATTGACACATCGCAACACCAAACCCAAAACACATCCCACCCCTGCTCCAGCCCCTTCTCCTTCTCACACGGCACCTCACCTGCCACGACCCGCACATGCCCCCACCACCTATCCCCATCCCCACCCC